TACTCAGGCTGGAGTGCAATGGGGTGATCATAGCTCACTGAAGCCTCACTGGATCCTGGAATCAAGCGATCCTCCCACTTCAGGCTCCTGAGTCACTGGGACCACAGTTGTGTATCACCACACCTGGCTAGGTTTTTTTTTTTCCTGGTTTTTGTAGAGATGGTGGTCTTGCTGTGTTGGCCAGTCTGATTTCCAACTCCTGGCCTCAAGTGATCCCCTGCCTCAGCCTCCCAAAGTGCTGGGATTACAGGTGTGAGCCACTGTGTCCAGCCTAGCAGCCTAGTGAATTATTATTTAAAAAGACATGTTGAAGAATCTACACTTAGAGAAGAGAGAGCCAGACTTGGTGAGGATTTTGAGACCTCAAATACGCTTTATTTTCCCACTTTCTCATGTTCTCTCTCTCCGAGGCGGAACTGCACTGTTCTCTAAGCCCACCGGTCTCTGACAGGCTTGCGGATCAGAAGGCAGGTGGAAAATGCTCATTGACTTTCGTCCTGAATTGCCTGGCTTCTGACTGGTGCACAGTTAGTAAAGGAAGAATTCTCCTTTTAATTTGAGAAATGTGCCAGGTGTGGCAGCTCATGCTTGTAATCCCAGCACTTTGGGAGGTGGGTCACCTGAGGTCAGGAGTTTGAGATCAGCCTGGCAAACATGGAGAAACCCTATCTTGACTAAAAATACAAAAATTAGCTGGGTGTGGTGGCAGGTGCCTGTAATCCCAGGTGCTCCAGAGGCTGAGGCAGGGAGAATTGCTTGAATGCGGGAGGCGGTGGTTGCAGTGAGCCAAGATTGTGCCACTGCACTGCACTCCTGCCTGGGCTATAGAGCAAGACTCTTTCTCAAAAAAAAAAAAAAAAAAGAAAAGAAAAAGAAATGTGTGAAGATTTCCCACACCCCCAATCCCACTGCCCCATCCCTGTACCCCAACTCCATTTATACCCTGCAAGGTTTCCCACCCGCCAAACGAGGAGACCCTTGTCAACATGGCAGGTGCACCTCGGCTGGGAACGTGTCTCAGTGTCTTTAAATTTCTCAAGAGTCTCAGTTTTACCCCTATTAACACACCCAGCAGTGGAAACAGCAGAAATTGCTCTTCTTTTGTAAGGAGAGTTGTGTTTCAGAGAGTTGGTTGTTTGAAATGTGATTTCTCGAGCTCATTAGGTCAAAACTGACATTTGAAGTATGCTTGAGGACTCTTGCTAATAGCCTTTTGTATTAGGATTCTTTAGGGAAACAGAATCAATAGGGTGTGTGTGTGTGTGTGTGTGTGTATGTGTGTGTGTATGTGGACAACGAGAGAGTAAGAGAGAAAGGAGAGAGAGAAAGAGAGAGAACCTTACTATAAGGAATCAGCTGATGTGATTATGTAGGCTGACAGTTCCCAAGATCTGCCATCTGTAAGCTGGAGACTCATGAGGGCTGATGGTATAAGGTCCAGCCTAAATGCAGACAAGCTGACAAGGTGCAGACACACAAAGACCTGATGTTTTAGTTTGAGTCCAAAGGCAGGAAAAAAACTGATGTCTCAGTTGGACGGCAGTTAGACAGGAGGAGTTCTCCTTACTCCTTGAGAGAAGGGTCTGCCTTTTTGTTCTATTCAGGCTTTCAACTGAGTGGATGGGAGGGCCATCTGCTGTAGTCAGAGCCCATTGATTCTACTGTTAATCTCATCCAGGTCCGTCCTGGCAGACACAGTGAGGTTGTGTGACCAAACATCTGGGAACCCGGTGGCCCACTCAAGTCCTAGAGCACTGACCATAACACCTTTGCTATAATCTCGGGATTTTTAATTTGCTGGGTGGCATGGCTGCAGAGGCTGCGCTAAAGTATCATGGGTCACAGCGTTATAGTCGCTGGTGCAGTTCTGCTGCTCCCATGGGCAGATGTTCAAGGGCCTTATTTTAGCTCATTAGGCTAATTTTCTTATTGTAAGACTATACATGAATGATAAAATTATAGAGAAGGAAAGTGATTTCATAGGTGGTGGAGATTCATTCCCGAGAGGCAGGGCTGAAGTCAGAGCCTCCGGAATCTTCTCCCACGGTCTTCCATCAATCCTGCCCCAGGGTCAATGGCTACCTGAGGCATCAAGTTCCAAGTATGCAATGAGATTTGCTAATCTGATTTTGCATTTTCTGGGCTTTGCACAAGTCAGAAAAGAGTTGCAAACATGACTATGACTCCTCAGCCTGAAGCCATCTGGGTGTGTTTTTTTTGAGGGTCTACAGGGGACTTTCTCATATCCTTGTGTTTGCAGGATATTTCATTTTCTGCTGCTCCAGAGGCTTGTTCAGGCATGTGTCAGAAATGGATAGCCCAGCCTTGCCCCTTTGCAAAAGTCAAAGTCTCCTGCCAGACAGCCACAACTTGTCTGGACAGAGATTTAGGGCTGTCTTCCCAAGAAAGGCATGTGTATCGGGAGTTTGACCCTAGTCTCCAAGGCTTGAGGATGGGTGGTTTTCCATGTGGTTTTGTCTTGGATTGCTTGTGGCATTTGGAGCCACTTCTGGTCTTAACTTTCCCACTTCCAGTGTTGAAATGGAATTGGTCTAGGACAGAATGCAGAGATTTATTTTATTCCTTTGGAGGGAGGTGGACAGAAGAATCTGTTGGGGAGAGAATGTGGAGCCAGCTGTTTATAAAGTTAACACTTAAGTCCCACACAAAGCCTGCTTCCTAAATACTCTTGTCCCAGGGCTACTGGCAAGGTGACTGGCTATGCCCCTTTGGTTTATCCTGTTACTGCTGGGCTTGGCATTTGCACTATGCTTTATCCTTCATTCAGAATCCAGGTAGATTCACACGCATGTCTGTGCCTGTGCGTGTGTGCGTACCTGTGATAAAAACAGGGAGGAAAAATGCTTTGTGATGAGCCTTGGGTATCATCAGACTTTACAGTTGATTGTTCCCCCTCTTCCAAAATCTTACTCCTTTTCTCTACCCAAGGAACCATGAGAAGGGGGTGCTATGGGTTGTCTAGGTTGCTTTATGCCAAAGACATAGTATTGAAACTTTTCATGTCAATGACGTGACACTTTGGTAAATCATATCAGTTAAGACAAGACCAAGCTGCTGTTGCTAAGAGATTTAAAAAAAATCTGAAAGCGAAGTTCTGTTTTCATTCATTTCACCAACTTACTGGAGAGTTTCTCTGTGCTGAAGACAAAGAGATGTCTCGTGTCTTTGATGTGGTCTCCACCCGGGAATAGTTTACGGTCTGCAAGAAGAATGTGTAGGGAACCTGATTCTTCGGTGCTCTGTTTTTGACTTTCTGAGTTGACTGATTTCTCATAGAGAGTATTAAATATTCTGAAAAAGGAGGGACACCAGCGAATACAAAGCAATTGGGAACAAATTCAAGAGAATGGAGGAACAAACACAAAGAACTTCAATCGTCACATTAAGAGTGCTATTCCCGGCGGCATCCTAGACCTTCCAGCCATGTGCTGATACGTGGCGTAGCCTTTGTGCAGAGTCTTAGGCTAGAGAAGGAAGTGGCTTGTGCCAGCGCTTTCCCTGCAGCTCACAGTGACCCTGTACCATCCTAAAGATAAGAACATAGTGTTAGGTCTGGCATCGTGGCCTATGCCTGTCATCTGAGCACTTCAAGAGGCTAAAGTGGGAGGATCACTTGAGTTCAGGAGTTCAAGACCAGCCTGGGCAACATAACAAGACCTCTTCTCTAGTACAGTTAGAAAAAAAACCGAGCCAGATGTGGTGGCATGCGCCTTTAGTCCCAGCTTCTCAGGAGGCTGAGGTGAAAGGATTGTGTAAGCTCAGGAGGTGGAGGCTGTAGTGAGCTATGATTGCACCACTGCACTCCAGTCTGGGTGATAGAATGAGACCCTGTCTTTAAAAACAAAACAAGATAGCAAAACCAAACCAACACACTGTAGTGTTGTAACCATTTTCCTCATGAATCCTCATGATGGAAACAAAATTGAGTCATTTCCATAAGCCCTTGTCCTAGGAGAAACGAGGTAGCGTGTTTAATGTCTCTTGATTTATTGTCATTCCTAATAGACTTTTGCCAAGAGCCTGCTGTGTGCAGGCCTAAGTGCTTCCCCTCATGCAGGGCTCTCTCACTTGCGAGGAAGGCTGTTCCTCTCCAATTTGATTTGCGAGGGAATGGAAGCTCAGGGAGATGAACTGACTTGCTCCTGGTCACATAAGCACAGAGCAGCCCATTTCTGACCCAGATCTCCCCTGGCTGGCCCATAGGGTGATGCCCTTGAGCGCCAGGCTGTGACAAACCCTGTCCTCATTGCACATCTTGGTCTTTGGGGACTTTTTAGAGCATGAAGTTTGCCTTTTTAAAATATCGCATTTGTGGCTGGGCTAATGCCTATAATCCCAGCACTTTGGGAGGCTGTGGTGGGCGGATCACGAGATCAGGAGTTTGAGACCAGCCTGGCCAACATAGTGAAATGCTGTCTCTACTAAAAATACAAAAAAAAAAAAAAAACCCCAAAAAAACAAAAAACATTAGCTGGGCATGGTGGCAGGTGCCTATAATTCCAGCTACTCAGGAGGCTGAGACAGGAGAATTATTTGAACCCAAGAGGCAGAGGTTGCAGTGAGCCGAGATCATGGCGTTGCACTCCAGCTCCATTGACAGTGGGAGACTTCATCTTAAAACAAACAAACAACCAAACAAAATATTGCGTTTGTGTATTACGTACCTTGCTTACTCAGTTTTTAGTGCTCAAAGCTCAAAGTGAGTTCTGCTTTAAGGGTTAGTGAGGTCGGTCACTCACTCACGGTCCCATGGCCGTAAGTGGGGCAGCAGGGTGTTAACTGAATCTCCTCGGAGCAGTCTCAGCAGCCAGCCTGGAGGCAGCAGCATGGTTTCCTTCTGTCAGATCCTCATGCTCTCAGATGGAGGAAGGAAACCTGACTTATCACCAGCTGCTAAGTTGCTATCAGGTCCTCTGGGGCTTGGGCCCAGGGGCTCTTTCTCTCCCAGCTGTGTTCTCACCAATGTGCTTCTCCTGCAGGTCGGGAAAGAGGTTAAAGAGGACCCGCAAGTATGATATCATCACCACTCCAGCCGAGCGAGTGGAAATGGCGCCGCTGAACGAAGAGGATGATGAGGATGAGGACTCCACAGTATTCGACATCAAATACAGGTACAGGGTGGGATGGAGGCCTCCCCCTCGGTCTTGGATACTGAGTTGGTGGGACCTCGAGGGCAGCTATGGTGTCCATGTGTTCTTGTTTTTTGGTTAAGCGTTGGGCCCTAGGGTGTTCTGCACATGGAGAGACCTGCTCTGATCATGTACGAGTCCGTTTTCATGCTGCTAATAAAGACATACCTGGGATTGGGTTGTTTATAAAGGAAAGAAGTTTAATTGACTTGCAGTTCCATAGGGCTGTGGAGGCCTCACAATCATGGCAGAAGGCAAGGAGGAGCAAAGTCACCTCTTATATGGATGATGGCAGGCAAGAGAGCTTGCGAAGGGGAACTCCCCCTTATAAAACCATCAGATCTTGTGAGACTTACTCACTGTCAGGACGAGAACAGCATGGGAAGACCTGTCCCTATGATTCAGTTACCTGCTGGGTTCCTCCCACAACACATGGGAGCTACAATTCAAGATGACATTTGGGTGGAGACACAGACAAACCATATTAGATCCTTTCCTAGAACACAAAGCACCCAGAAACCCAGCAGAGAAATGCTTATTTGTTTTCCCATGAGAACATGAAGTCACCTTTAAAGAAGGAAAAGGAGGGTTGTGCTTCAGACAACAAGCTGCTAGTTGTCCACTGCTTGTGGGGGGTCCGGCTGCTAGCTGTGTGTGCTACACACCAGGCACCCAAACAGCAACTTCTCTTTCAGCCTTGTTTACGTCGATAGCTGAGGACGTGGGTGGTTGGGTGGATTGCGTTCCTGCTTGGATGGAGTTTACCAATGAGCTCTAAAAGCAGGTGTGTTTCCTAAAGGTTTTCTCTAGGTAAGTCAGAAGGACTTTGTGACTTTAGGATTATAGTGTGGGTTTTCAGATCATTTTGGGATGTACTTTTAATATGTGAGCTTCTTAATGGAAGAGCTGAGGATGAGCATAGTTTTGAGATGAGGGTGCAGAGACCCAGAGAAGGGGCATTGCTTGGCCAAGGTCCAGTTAGTAGTAAAAGTGGAGCAGAAATCCAGGCTGGTCCCCATCTTGGGTCCCCAATTCTGTGGCTTCTGCCTGTCTGGGAAGGCAAGCCTTCCACCGTTTCTCACCACAGCCTTGGCTATCCTTGGCCCTTCTGCATAAATCAGTTGTCAGGTTCAACAAGGCAGTGTTTGGGATTTTGTTTGGAGCTGCATTGCCTGTAGATCAATTTAGGGAGAATCAGCACTTTTACATTGACTTTTCCAATTCGTGAATATGGAAGGATTTTCCATTTATTAGATATTTAAAAAATGTCTTTCAGTACTTTCAAAAATTTATGTATAAATGTTTTGTACATTTTGTTAGATATATTCTCATAGGTATCTTACGGTTTGATATGTATATTTTTTATTTTAAAGTACTGTTTTATTTACACTCATGTCTGAAAAAAATGACTGTATTATAATCTTTACATACATACTGGTTTTGGAAGCTGAGTTTGTTAGTGTATCATACCAAAATCTCATAAAGAACTTGAAAGCATTAAACTGATTGGTTATGGATAGCAGACTGGGAGAAAAATCCCACTAGCTGTAATTTGCATTTTAGGCAAAGGGGCAGCACCCTTTGAAAAGAATCAAATCAATTAGTAATATTTATCCATACCACAGAATAATACACAGTTAGCCCTCTGTACTTGAGGATTCCACATCTGCAGGTTCAACCAACCATGAATTGAAAATATTTGGGGTTGGGCATGGTGGCTCATGCTTGTAATCCCAGCATTTTGAGAGGCTGACAAGTGCAGATCTCTTGAACTCTGGAGTTTGAGACCAGCCTGGACCACATGGTGAAAACACCGTTCTAAAAAAGAAAAATTAGCCAGGCATGGTGGTGCATGCCTGTCATCCCAGCAACTTGGGAGGCTGAGGTGGGAGGATCACTGGGGCCTGAGAGGTCAAGGCTGCAGTGAGCCATGAGCATGTCACTGCACTCCAGCCAGGGCAACAGAGCAAGACCCTGTCTCAAAAAAAAAAAAAAAAAAGGAAAATTTTGGGAAAAACAATACAATGAAAATAATACAAATTCAAAAAACAATACAGTGTAAGAACTATTTACATTGTATTAGGTATTAGGAATATCTAGAGATGATTTAAAGTATACTAGAGAATGTGCATAGGATACATGCAAATCTGACACCATATTATATAAAAGACTTGAGCATATGTGGATTTTATCTTTGCGGGAGGTCTGGGAACCAATTCTGTGAGGATACCAAGGGATGATTGTATACATAGGAAAGTTAGCGATTGTATTGATTTTATCACTATGCCGTTTTATCTGTCTCATATTCAATACAAAGTAGTAAAATATAATGTGAAGAAAACCATGTCCTTACCACTATTCGCAATCAAGAGTCTGCTTCCTCCTGCAGAGCAAGGCATGTTGTACAATAGGGAGCACTTAGTGGTTCGAGTGGATCAATGTACCGTTTTGATTCGGAGCCACTGAACAGCATCTCATCAATCTTTGGTGACTGAACTAACTCCATGGGAACCATGATAGACAGAACCATTTTCGTGGTATCTCCATATCCCACTAATAAGAGAAGACCCTAAACAAGGAAATATAGCAATCAATCTGCTCAGAAATTCTCTATATAGACCGTTTACTAGAAGGTGGGAAAAAGGGCCTTTCACTGCATGCATAGATGTCAGTATTATTGTGGCCTGGTTGCTGGATTGATATTATGTCTGGTATAATGAAGATAAGGCACACATTAAAACTGGTGTCAGATTAAGAAACTTCCACAGCTTGTCTCTGTTCTTCAAATAATGGAGCGAGTTCCTTTTCTGGGCTGACAATGAGTACCGTATTGGCATTGCTGCTGGCGGTGAAACTCACCACTAAACATAAACAATTAAATTGAACCACCTGACTTTTTAATGATTGTCACTCTAACTGGCATGAGATGGTATCTCAGTGTGGCTTTGATTTGCATTTCTCTAATGATCAGTGATAGGAACACTTTTACACTGTTGGTTGAGTGTAAATTAGTTCAACCATTGTGGAAGACAGTGTGGTGATTCCTCAAGGATCTAGAACTAGAAATAACATTTGACCTAGCAATCTCATTACTGGGTATATACCCAAAGGATATAATATAATCATTCTACTTTAAAGACACATGGACACGTGTGTTTATTGTGGCGCTGTTCACAATAGCAAAGACTTGGAACCACCCCAAATGCCCATCAAAGATAGACTGGAAAAAAAATGTAGCCATAAAAAAGGATGAGTTCGTGTCCTTTGCAGGGACATGGATGAATCTGAAAACTATCATTCTCAGCAAAGTAACAGAACAGAAAACCAAACACTGCATGTTCTCACTCATAAGTGGGAGTTGAACAATGAGAACACATGGACACAGGGAGGGGAACATCACACGCTGGGGCTTGTCAGGGGGTTGGGGGGCTAGGGAAGGGACAGCATTAGGAGAAAGACCTAATGTAGATGACTGGTTGATGGGTACAGCAAAACCACCGTGGCACGTGTATACCTATGTAACAAATGTGCACATTTTGCACATGTACCCCAGTACTTAAAAGTATAATAAAGAAAAGAAATATTTTGAGACAATGAAAATAAATAGTATTTATTAAAAAAAAAAATTGAACCACCTGGTAGGTGTCAAAGTTAACAGACAAATCCAAGTTTGTTTTTTGAACATCCGGGTTAGTTTGCTGGCTGGCGTGTTGCAAGGGCAAAAGTAAGTGAGACACCTGGTGCCAAGCGTGCTTTGGGGCATTTTCAGCGGTGGCTTTAATGATGTGCATCTCATCTCTATCTGACACAGCCATAGCACAGGGCCTTTCAACTCTTGGTGGATTTTAATACATGAATCGTGTGAGCTCCCTGAAGCACCTTAGCAGTGTCTTCTCTGCCCCTATTCCAAGCAGAAATGAATCCCTCCGTATTAGTTTTCTGCTCCAGACCATTGGCTGTATAAAGCACCCCTTTGTCCCACTGACCAGTCTCCATGCCTGGGTTTCCACTTCTGGGGCTGCCAGGTTCTCTCTGCTGTCATTTTGGGGACAGGGTCAAAAACAGATTTCTCTGCAAACTGCCACCTCATGAATCGTGACTTTGTCTCTGATGTCTTTGAAAAAATATCGTTTTAAAACTTTTTGTTCATGGCAGTTATTTTTTTTAAGACATTGATTTTTAAAAAAATTCAGCAACCTTGCTAAACTTTTATTAATTCTTGTAGGATAAATGTGGAATCTTTGGGTTTTCTGTGTAGACATGTCATCTGAGACTAAGAAGAGTCCCTATCCCTGCTCCCAAGTCCTTAAACATTTTCTCTCTTCTTTTGCTTTTTGGTACTCTTGGCCACGAAGTCATTGTTAAATAGAAGTGATACCACTTCTGACACCAGGCTGGGCGAGGTGGCTCATGCCTGTAATCCTAGCACTTTAGGAGGCGGAGGCTGGAGGTTCGCCTGAGGTCAGGAGTTCAGCCTAGTCAACATGGTGAAACCCCATCTCTACTAAAAATATAAAGAATTAACCAGGCGTGGTGACAGGTGCCTGTAATCCCAGCTTCGTGGGAGGCTGGGGCAGGAGAATTGCTTGAACCAGGGAGGTAGAGGCTACAGTGAGCCAAGATCTCACCATTGCAGTCTAGCCTGGGCAATGAGAGTGAAACTCTGTCTCAAAAAAAAAAAAAAAAAAGAAAAAAGTGATGATAACAGGCATCCTGTCTTACTATTGATATTAAAGGGCATGCTTTCAATATTTCACCACTTAGAGTAGTATTTGCTGGAGAATTTTTGTGGATTTCTTCCTCCTTCAGGAAGTTTCCCTCTCTTCTTCATTTGCTGATGCTAAATCCTATTAGACACTGTTCTAGCTCTATTGAGAAGGTCAGACTCTTTCCTTTAATCTGTTACAGTGGCAAATTTATATTCATTAATTTTCTTTTTTTTTTTGACAGAGTCCTGCTCTGTTGCCCAGGCTGGAGTGAAT